CAAAATATAAGATAGTAAATATTTAATTGATGAGTTGTCAATATGATATATAGCAATACAATATATAGGGTATGATTTTACAGCAAAATTCAACACTTTACAGTTTTTTTTAACTGCTTACATTTTCACAACTTTGCCTTTTTCTTTCAAAACTTTACACACAAATCCAAGAACTGCACACACAAAATGCAAAATGTCTCACATATCTTGCAAAATAATGCACTGCATTCAAAATATCACAAATACATCTCAAAAGCAAACATTTGTCTTACGTTCCAAACACCTTTGCCATAATATTATATTTTTAGATATGTCATATACACAAAGATATTCAAAACCTAAAGCCCTTCTTTCATGAGCTCCTGTGTACATTTCTGTACAAGACTGAAAGCAGAGAGATGTTGAAAAATTCACTGTAAAAACGACAGCAAGTTTGAAACCAATTATTTATTTATTTGACTGTAAAGGTCCTTGCACACTGACTTCGACATACTTGTCTGAAATTTTCACACGTTCAAACACAACCAATCAAAATGCCACACTAATTCATCAGTGCCTCACACTAACTCCTCACATGTGCAAAAACTCATTACTTTACTTAACACCAACCAATCATGGCTTTAGAATAGGGCAATAAATAGGCCAAAGGTCAAGTTATACAGCTTTTCTCATTCACTTTGGTGCATTTCTCAATTAATCCTTAATATTTGCAAAGAAGTATGTGCATTTCTCAAAACAATTTGTGTAAACAGCACCACACAATGGATTACCTGCAAAAGCCTGTTACTTACTCAACATCTTTAGTTCATCTCTCAAAAGTAAGTAGTTATGTCAATGAAGATATCAGTTCCATCAGAATGAAAAGTCCTTGTGTCATTGTTCACAAACAAGATAGTCAAAATTAGTCATGTATAACAGTGCACTCTGTTAGTATTACCTAATGTAAACTATGGCAACCGTTTGGATGACAGTTACTCTATTGAAATGCATGAGGCTGCAGTTCTTATGTATGCCATATAGTACAAATTTACACATTACTGTATGTGGAATATTCATTGAAAGAGACAGAATAGGATTCACAGTTACACTTTTACTAGTGGTCTGACAACAACAACAACAACACATTACAATGTCGTTGTGATATAGAAAAAGAAATATAGGCACACAGGCAAAAATACAAAATTTGAAAAGCAAACACAGGAAACACCCCTTAGCCAGAACTTAGCTTTTGCATTCAGCACTGTATGAGGAATTTCAGAGAACTAGTTTATCATTGGTTGATCTACATTCTCTTCATTAGTGAAAGTCAAGATTGACCTGCACAATTCATGGCAAATTTACAAAAAGACTAATAGAAATGTGTAGAAAATATGCTTGACAGTTTATGACAACTATCAACCATTTTGCATGTAATGACTTATACGATGAACTAATGCCTAGATGTTTTGAGGGATAAGACTATTGCACAGAAAACTGTATAATAAATTTTGAGCAACATGACATTAGCAACTGATAATGTAGGAAACCGCAGACAAATGTACATAATCAACTGCGTGAAGGTACCAAAGCAATCGCAACTTGTTCAAAAGAATGAGAAACTGCTTTTATGATGTGCACAAGTGACTAGATGATGTGGAGGTTGAACAAGTAGTTTTGAGAATTTCATGTCTGATCTGAGAAACGCACCAAAGTGACTAAGAGAAACTGTAGGTTTTGAACAGTGGATGCAAACAATGTATTTATTTTCTTTCGTACTGTGTAATGCTGTATTTACAACCACATGCTTACATTAATAAATAAATTGTTTGTTTTCAATCTTGCTTTCGTGTTTACTGTGAATTTTTCAACATCTCTGTGCCAGTTACTTTCAGTTTTGTACATAAATGTAGGAGCTCATGAAATAAGAGCTTTAGGTTTTGAATAACTGTGTGTATATGATATATCCAAAGATATTATAATATTATGGCAAAGGTGTTTGCAACGGAAGACAAATGTCTGCTTTTGAGATGTGTTTGTGATATTTTGAATGCAGTGCTTCATTTAGCAAGAGATGTGAGGCATTTTGCATTTTGTGTCTGCAATTCTTGTATTTGTGGTAAAGTTTTGAAAAAGAGAGGCAAAGTTTTGAAAATGTGTGTGATCAGTTGAAAAATCAGTCTTACACTCTGCACAGGCCAAGAGCTTCCAAAAAGAATTTCCACTGTGGTGCAGGGAATACTAACCCCCCAAAAAAATATCTCTCAAAAAACATGCTTGAGTAGGCCTATTACCATAACCTGCTATTATTCACTTCTACCACATCCGTCCACTCATCTCTCACTCTCTCTCTCTCATTCTCACTCTTTCAACACACTAGATAGCACACAGAAACAGTGCATAGACAAGGAAAGTTTAATCCACTTTACAGTTACAAATGTTTTAAAAATGCAAATCATTAGCGTCAATATCAAGCACTCCATAATGAAAAAATACAGTAAATACCTATGATGCACTGCATCCATACAAGTAATGGATCAAAACAAAGTACACGTCTTACAAAAAGGCTAAACAGTATGTATATGCCTATGGTTATACATATCTTTTACAACATACTGTCATTAGTATTTTGTTTAAATCAAATAAAAAAGAACCCTGAAATACAGTGTAAACACATTTATTATAAAGTGAAATTTGAAGCAAATCTCTTTTTGATTTTAAATTTGTCTGTTAAATGTGTTTAGAAACACTAAGAAAGAGAAACGAATAAATCTAACTTCAATCTTAAGACTAACAGACTACAATTGTCAAGACATTCATTTTAAGGCATCAAGCCCTTAAAATTTATTTTGCATATTCACTATTACTAAGGCCAATGATACTAATGTTTGGGTTAGCAAATGTATTTTAGGACTTGAAAAAATGGGGGATTGTTTAATATACAGAATGTAAATCCAATTTTGTTGCAATCCTGAGTTGTTTCAAGTTGGCACATTTTCACGCTGTGTTCTTTTCCAAGAGACTGTCAAAAACATGCTCGGTCCAAAATAAATAAACGAATGCAAACCACGACTTCTGCAGAAAGCATTCAGAAGCCAGAGAGGTAGCTATCAACTCTTTATTCGTGTGTCATAAAGAGTAGGGATAATCCAAATGTTCGGAATGGCAAAGTATCATACTGTTCTTACTATGTGCAGAGTATGTATACTAAGTGCAATATCTATAGAATACTCGGGTTAAGCCCTGCAAAAATTGTGCGGTATACAGCAGAGCCTACCATATCCCATGATGCAATGTGCTTGGCAGCCATATTTTGTGACACTTTTAAAAAAAATAAAATTATATTTAAATTTGCCTAATTTTTAAATATGATTTATGAAAACTCATTTTTTACAGAAAATTATTTAGAAATGCAAAATAACATACCAATCACATTTTTTTATGACAGGCAGTATAATGTGCATAATGTACAGTTTAAAGTACACATCACACTATTATTCCACTCTGAACATAGTTTGTTTATGATAATCATGTCCCTGCCTGTATAGTTGGTTCAATGTTGCCATTCAGCCAAGAAAACAACAACAACAACCAATTATACATGACTGTTATTAAGGATTTTAGAGGTTTCCATTGATGTTAAATTTAACTCGTCATTTATTTTTTTGCACTTTACATTTAACAATAGCATATATTTGTGAGTAAATACAATAACAATAATCTTTTTATGTATGTACATAAATCACCACACCATGCTTAAATACACACAGCAACATATGCACCAATACTTTAACATTCAACCTTATAAAGTAGCATAAGCTTAAGTCTGTAAAAATGAGGAATGCGTTGTACTACGATTTACCTTGCTAACTGTCTTGACGCTCAACAGGACAACATTTTCAGAGCCTTTGAGAAACGGGACCATTATATATATATATATATATATATATATATATATATATATGTGCATGTATGTATGTGGATAGCAAATCCTCGTTTTCACAAGGCGCATTTCCATTAGGCGTATTTTCAATTCGCAATTTCAATTTGCGCAAATTTGAGGGGTAATGGAAACACGCCTACTGTTGCAACCATGATCAGTAGGCAACATCACATTTAAACACATTCAAGTACACAATGCCACCTGTGCATCACTGTGCAATCATACATATATTTTTGAAAACACCAGAGCATGTAAAGGGCTACCACAGAATTTATTCTTTGACCCACCATCTCATATTAGCATCTTGATCGACACAGGAAGTCTGAGCAAGCAACACTGCAGGCAAAATCACATGACACATTGCCTTTTACTATAAATGTTTTATACTTTTTAAACTTTAATTTCATCTGTCTCCACCACACATGTAAAATAAATTCAGAAAGCAGATACAGATATAGAACAAAATCAAACATAAACCACAATTTGTTTAAATCAAATAATTGTTCATTGAAATTCATAAGTTTTAGTTTCTTTTTTTTTAAGTGCTTTTTCCCCAACCTCACATTTTCTTATGTATTGGTAAACAGATCTCTTAAAGCAGACCTTTGAGAGCCAGTCAGCACCAGAATAAAGAGTTAACTAATGGTTCTACATATGTTGTGATGAGAACCTTCAAGATTAGAAACATTACGGACAAAGGGACTATGAAACAGCTGTCACAAATTAAGCAGGTCTGAGACTTATATTTGTATGTACTTTTACAATATTAATTAATCCAAAGCTTTTGGTATTGTTTGAGAATGTAGCACTACATATGAAGTTCATTTAAAGTAATAAACGGCATAAACATTTTTTTTCAGCATAATCATATTCACTAAAAACAAAACAAATCAAAACAAAAAAAACACAGATGTCTTGCAATGGATTATGGAAAACCACGATCTTCCAACCAACTTGTGGAAAACTTTCTCCGCAAACATCTGGAGAGTTCTATTATGTGACTTTTTTTCGTAACAGTTTTTCCATCTAATGTTTTTTTCTTTAACTTCTTGACAGCATTGAATGGAAACAAACAAAACAATAAAATCGGAGTCAAGTCACACATTCATGTAGTTTAATGGAGGTTACTTTCATACAGATTCCAACATTGAAAAGAATCCAAATTGTCAAATATATTTATATAATATGGACCCTTGTAGTGACATTTATTCAGTATCCTATAGTTTTTTTTCTTGTAAAATTATCATTCAGTATATCACAATTCTCTGATTTCAATTCCTCCCCTGAGTATTTTTAATGTTGTAATAGAAAGGGGTTTACAAAAAACAATAGCTTTGCAATATTTACAGGATGGCAGCATTAAACATTAGACATTTACAAAGCGTCCACCGACAGTGCATAGCTTAGAATAGCCTTATATGCCATGTAGGTGAATTTGATGATAAACAGCAATGTTTTAACATGTACAGCGTCCAACATTCCCAACTGAAAAGATCAAAACATATTTAAACAAAAAAAACAAAAACAAAAAAAAGAGTAGAACATTGATACTGAATCCATGAAGGCACCACAGAAAACATTTGAAGTGAGAAAGACGCTCTTAAACATACTGACTGAATGATCTGTTGTGAAGACTTAGTGTAAAAAAGACGTTAAATGTTTAAAATAAAAAAACATTTAAAAAACAAACTAAAATGTAATTTACATGAAATCAGCGCTTCTTTTGGATGTACAAAGCAACTGAGATGTGGCAATGGATGTGAAATCTGTTTGTACCTCAGTTGAAAAGAAAGAATATTTACCGTTCAAGATGTGCATCTAAAATGGGAAATCTTAGCATAATCTAACGCCAAAATTCATAATCTCATAAAATGTCACCAAATCTAAAATGTATGTGCATTAAATCAGGCCACATACCATCAGCCACTGTCGCATTTTGAATTAAACGAGAAACAGGCCTGTGGACGTTTAGTTCAGGAAAAGAAAAATGAAAGTAGACGGTGTTGTTTTAAAAAACGAATTAAAACACTGTCCAATCTCTATCCAGCTTCCACAATAGTATATATTACCCATGAAATGCCTGTGGCAATCTTCTTGTATCTTTTCGAACTCTCATTAAACAGAATCGCTCCATTGGAATAGTAGTGACCCCATTCCCACCTTGGTTCTTTACATTGCAGCACCTCCAAGTGGCAGGATGCTGGAACTACTAAGTATTCCTGGCCAGACTGGGGGTGTGGCAGGACTCCATTGGAAAAACAGGACAGTCAGTCATTGGTTACTGCAAGATGATTGACATTCAGACCCGACTAGTAGAATGGACATGGTAGGTGCAGTTCTGGATGTCATTTCCATCACTGACACCCTCAGAACAGCCACTGTTTTCCCTCTGCAGGGCTAAGAGAGAGAGAGAGAGAGAGAGAGAGAGAGAGAGAGAGAGAGAGAGAGAGACAGAGAGAGATTAGTCCTCCTTGAGTACCTATTGAGAAATAGTCCTCCTTAAGTAACTAACAACATTTCAAGAACATGTAATATTTCACTCCACTGTCAAAATAAAAATGAGAAATTATGCTATGCATAAAAAAATGAGCTGCCAGCATCCCTGTTACCCTACAGAGAATATGAAGTTTGGAGAATGAAGTGATTTTAGAACTCTGTTCTCTCTGTGGGGCTATGAGAGAGAGAGAGAGAGAGAGAGAGAGAGAGAGAGAGAGAGAGAGAGAGAGACAGAGAGAGATTAGTCCTCCTTGAGTACCTATTGAGAAATAGTCCTCCTTAAGTAACTAACAACATTTCAAGAACATGTAATATTTCACTCCACTGTCAAAATAAAAATGAGAAATTATGCTATGCATAAAAAAATGAGCTGCCAGCATCCCTGTTACCCTACAGAGAATATGAAGTTTGGAGAATGAAGTGATTTTAGAACCAATATGATTTTTGTGAAAATTAAGGACACACACACACACACACACACACACACTTGTTTCTGTGAATTGTGAGGGCTTTCCATAGACTTCTATGACTTTTATACTGACCAAATTATATTTTCTATCCCCTAACCCTAAATCTACCCCTTACAGAAAACCTGTTTGCATTGTTACACTTTCAGATTAAACATCATTTACTATTTTTAATAATTTTTTTCCCTTATATGCCAAAAATTTCAGGTTTTACTATCCTTGTGGGGACATTTGGTCCCCACAATGTAGCATAAACAAGTACACACACACACACACACACACACACACGAATCATCAAAAATTATTCTTAATATTTAAATTGTAATATATTTACACATTATTGTAGTATGTTGTGCTGTATTTAACTTATGCTGATTTAAATGGGGGGGAAAAGAACTCTGTTCAGTACTATATTACTCTAAAAATGAGATTTTCCACATTATAGTAATTTAAGTAATTCGATTTTTTTTAACATTACCATAATGAAACTGTTGGGAAAATATTATTAAATAAAAACAATGTTTAAAAAATGGCAAAAGAAACCCCCTCCCCATTATGCAAATTAAATGTCTTTTTTTCGCCAAAAATTTCAGGTTTTACTATCCTTGCGGGGACATTTGGTCCCCACAATGTAGCATAAACAAGTACACACACACACACACACACACGAATCATCAAAAATTATTCTTAATATTTAAATTGTAATATATTTACACATTATTGTAGTATGTTGTGCTGTATTTAACTTATGCTGATTTAAATGGGGGGGAAAAGAACTCTGTTCAGTACTATATTACTCTAAAAATGAGATTTTCCACATTATAGTAATTTAAGTAATTCGATTTTTTTAACATTACCATAATGAAACTGTTGGGAAAATATTATTAAATAAAAACAATGTTTAAAAAATGGCAAAAGAAACCCCCTCCCCATTATGCAAATTAAATGTCTTTTTTTTTTTTTTACATTATGGGCTGAAATATGACCTGGCTTGACTAAAAGTTGGTCTAATACTGTAAATATACAGAAAGATTTATGACATGCTTTACTATGACTGGCAGTTAACAGTAGTGTCTGTCTGGATGAATGGGTATGCAAAAACAGTGGTAAATATAAATGTGACATGTTTAGATACTGACAGCTCTCTTCTTCGTCCCCCTCGGGCAGCAGCAGGTGCCCGTGGCAGGGGCTGGGCAGGGTGGACTGCGTTTGGCCCTCCTGACTGGTTCCCAACTGCAGCCTGCGCATGTGACGAACTACTGCTGTGGCATTAAATGCTTGCTGTGCATGATAGTAAGAGAAAGACAGCCATTAAAATCAGAAAACATGCTTTTCACCTGCAATACTTCATTAACATTCTCAGATGAGGTTCTTTCCCTCACATATATGCACGGATTTACCTTCCACTTGCTTTTGGCAAAGTTCTTCTTAATTTGGGCACTGACAGATTCATGGATATTCTTATCCAATGCTGTGTCTCCAGCGATCCTGAAGTACAAAACAGACATTTACGTTTCCTCCAAAGTCAACCGTACCTGGTTGTATAAAAGCAAAATATCTTATCTTGTCTGTTTTAAAGCCACAATGAAATGCAAACACAAAGCTCTGTCATCATCTATTCCCACATGTTCTTCCAAAGCAGTACAACTTTCTCCCTACATTTGAAGTCAAATGAACATTTATAATTATGTATCAAGAACTGACCAAAATTTAATTCACTAGAAATCTTCCTCTCAGACACAGCTCTCAAATGTCACTTCTGCACACTCGAACTGCATATGACATTATTTGGCTTCAACACATGTGAAAACCAATGGCATTTGACTTCACTGATGACAGGTCTAGCACAACTTAATTTAATGCGTATTTGAATATATGTGACAGTGGATGAGATTAGAGCGCTGTGGCAGTTTATTAAGTGTATATTAATTATTTTGTTCCATCATTCGTACAAATCACATGTGGTACTTCTTTATGATGCTTTTTTCTGTAATTTTTCGAGTTCTACAACATCCATCCCTTTATTTACTTTCACTGTATGGAAAGAGCAATCTCTTTTTTCGTTCCATAAAACAAAGTTATACGGGTTTGAAATGACACAACATAAATAAAGGATGTTGCTGGAAAGAATTACGCAAGCTCTAGATCATCTGGAACTGGGAAAGGTACACATTGTGTTGTTGGACCCTTTGACAGATGTTTGAAAGGTTAAAATATGATAGTTCATGACAATGTCTGACTGCCTTTTTAAGCAGTAAAGCCACAACATATGGTACCTATAACAGTTATGGCAATAAATATCTGTATGTGTGCTGTCATTGTTTAAATTGCTGCATGACAGACTGCAAAACTCCAAGTATGAAAGTGAGATTTACAGTATCACTGACGATTAGTCTCAGTGTGGCGTCTGAACTCATACCATGGGTGCTGAAGAGCCTGTTCACACGTGTAACGCTGACTGGGATCTTTTTCCATTAAATGCACAATGAAATCTTTGGCTGAGAAAAGAGCACAGTGTGAAAGTTCAGAACATGACATAACTGTTTCCATAATGCCATTGAGAAACAAAGCAACTGTCAGAGGAAGACAGAAAGAAACAAAGAGAAAATAACAAGGCCTCAATTTCTTCAGAGTTTCTTTTGTTTGATTTGCCAGACATAAAACTAATATTTTCATTGACTCCAGATATATTTGACAACCAGTAGGGTTTGGTAAAAGAAAGAATGAAAACACAAGTTTTAACCTCACTAAACATAGGACAATTCATGGAATCGTTGTGTTATACCTGAGTCAGAGATATCATCCCAGTACGGTGAATCAAACTCATACTCTGCCTTCAGGATCTGCTCAAAGAGCTTGGCATCGTTCTCATCGTAAAATGGTGGATAGCCACATAAACTGAGAGGAGACAAACAGAAGTCCGGTTGAATTATTGGGAATGAATTCAGTTCAGGTAAAAGGGAAAAGATGTAAGTATATGCATGTACAAGCAGCAGTAACAGTCAAACTCACAGAATGTAAGCGATGACCCCGATTGACCAGCAGTCCACTGCTTTACTGTATGGCTTCTGTGCCAGAACCTCAGGAGCTGAAGATCAGAATAAATGGGATCAAACATCAATTTAATTTATCACTTCAGCCCTTTCTAGTAAGTAGGTAGACTAAACTTTCAAACTTAACCTGAACATTTTGAGGTTAATTAATTATATAAAAGTAGTGTGATTAAGCATGCCCCTAGACCCACATACAAATTCCCATATTTTAATTAATTTATGCATTTAGCAGACGCAAAGCAACTTACAGAGCATTCAGGCTATACATTTGTTTTTACCAGTATGTGTGTTCCCTGGGAATTGAACCCACAACCTTTTGCGCTGCTAACGCAATGCTCTACCAAGTGAGCCACAGGAACACATATGCAAGTAAGGATTTTCCTACCACTGGGGCAAATGAGGTACCACCTTTAAAACCATTTAATTAACTGCTATATTGACAGGGGTGGGGCGTAACGGAATACATGTAAATTATTTACGTATTTAAAATACAAAATATGAGTAACAGTATTTTCATTACAGTTACAGCCAAAAAGTATTTTAGGTTACCAAAGTGATTACTTTGAATGTCATGTATTTAATTTAAATATTCATGTAAATAGTAACAGGCAATTAATGTAAACAGCATATGGTGAATCTCCAACTCTGCACTCTCACAGTTCTGCTCATAAGTTTCATACCCCGTGCAGAATATGCAACATTTTAATAATTTTGAGATCATAATAAAGAGGACAGTGGCGTAGTGTCTGGGCATGCAGGGTATGCAGGTGCATATGGGCCCGGGCAGTGTGGGGGCCCGCCGAGCTGGGGGGAACTTTTAATTGAAACGAGGGAACGAATAGAGCCCTGCATGGGCCCGGCCCTTGTCCAACAGCTTATGAGAATTCTCGGCCCGAGTCCGACTGGATACCGTGACTTTTTTTTCTCTCTCTCTCTCTTCCCCATTACACAGCTATTAAAATAGTTAAGTTTTGGTTTTTAATGGCAAAGTGGTCATATTTCTTTTTGTTTATTTATTAAGTTAATTTAGAAATATGTTTGGAACATTTTATATTTGTTAAATTCAAGTTTTTGTTTTGTAAAGGAACGACCGAGCGGCAGCGGCAGACAGTGAGTTGAGCATTATGTTTAATCAATTTAGCCTTCTCAAACCAACACGACTTGCCCAAAATAAACAGACATAAAACACTTGTATTAATTTAAACATTTAACCTAGATAAATGAGTGCTGTTAGGCGCATATCCAATCGTTTGTGTGGAGAGTGGAAGCTAAAGCACGCTTTGCAGGACATGGAGGACTTGCATTTTTTTTTTTATTTTATAACAGTGGAAACTTAAAAATATGCCGTAATTTTTGCTCATAAAGGTAAGAGTATACATCATTCGGAACTGCAAATGGTCTACTTGTATTTGTGTGCACTCACAATATCAACACAACCTTGTGCTTTTGTAAAATAAGGAAATCAAACAGGATGCGCTTTCTGTCGTCTTGGTTTTGAGCAGGAGCACTTCACCTACATGATAAATATATCTATAGAATGCTTTAAATTACTATTTTAAAATGAAATGATTCAAATCGAAAACAAAAACTCTTTCATTATGTAATCCGTGCATTTCTTTCTAAAGGCACGTCCAATGAGGAGATGGCGAGTCAGGTTCATTAATTTTTGCAACATTGACTCAGAAAACATTAGTTTACTAACAAATCATTCAAATATCCCCTTACTCGTTTTTACTTTCTTTTGTTTGTTTGTTTTTTTTTGGGCCGCTGTGGCAAAATTGTGTTTGCATTCAGTAGCCTGTACGGCAGCATTTTTGTGCCATGTTTAAAAATAACTAAATAAATAAGATTAACGTCATAATATTTTAAGAATAAAGTCAAAATTACAATAATAAAATCATGTTATATTGCGTGAAGTTAATGTGAAAATTCCACCTATAGGCCTAAGTCTGTGGCATCCGTCATTCTTTTTACTTTTTTTAAAACTCTTGATTGATCGATTCATGAGACATTCGTTTGTATTAAATTGTTTTGATTTATTTCAACGTGCATTCAAATATTCATGTTTAGTTCATGCTGCAAATATTAAAGAGGAAAATATCATTGATTCATATGCAGCTTGAACTGAGGCGAATTATCTCACTACAAATGAAAGAGCAAAAGACGTTTATTGTTTGTATGTTATCATAAAATTGACAGAAGGCTGAGACTTCGTAGTAACAAAGCACAAAGCTGCGATTATTGGGTGGCATGCGTGCTACAAATAATGAATGGACTTGAAACATAATTTCCAAGCATTAGCCTAGACCGTAAATAAAACAGCTTGTGAATAGTCACGATTCACGTAACGTTGTTTACTTCAGAAAAATCAACAATAGGGCCTAAGTTAAGTTAACCGAGTTGGAGCCCATAACGTTTGGGGGAGCCCGTACAAATTTTTTTTGCATAGGGGCCCGGGGCTGACTCGCTACACCACTGAAAGAGGATCAATAAAAATTGCATCTTATTTTTTTGTTTAGTATTGTCCTGAATAAGCTATTTCACTCCACAAGACAAAACAACTGAATTTATAAAAAAAAATGGTCCAATTTAAAAATGTACATGTTTTGTGATAGTTGCCTGTATATCCCTTGTTTGTCCTGAGCAGTTAAACTGCCCACTGTTCTTCAGAAAACCTGCACATTCTCAGGTTGTCCAGCATTTTATGCATATTTGAACCCTTTCCAACAATGACTGCATGATTCACACTGAGGACAACTGAGGGACTCATACACAACATTTGCTGATGCCCAAGAGGGAAACGCAATGCATTACAAGCAGGGGGTGTAAACATTTGAACAGGACGATGTGTACATTTTTCTTATTTTGCTTAAAGATCTATTTTTTTTTTCATTTAGTACTGCCCTTAAGAAGCCAATGCTTGCATGTTTCCCAGAAGACAAAATAAGTACAATTTACCCTGTTCACCCAAAAAGTTTACACACCCCAGCAATTTTGTCCTTCAAGAAATATTGTAGACAACTGATGTTGTTAAATATAATATGCAGAGGAAAACCAGGTCCTGTGTTTGGTGGATGTCATTTTTCTTTAGCACTTCAGTTTTGGCCTGAAATCCAAATCCAAAGGCCTCTGACAAAATCTGACCAAAGTCTGACAAAAATAAATAACTTATAATTTTCAGGGGTTATCCCTGTCGTAACAACTATGTAAATTCTAATCTTGTGTAAAAACTGGGAGTAGTTAAGGTGATAATACTGGTTCTAGATACATTTTTTGATATGTTGTTGCTTGCTCTTCTGCTTTCATTCATCCATGTGTAAGTGGCAAAGATACTCATACCCAAGTTTCAGTTTTCCTTTCTCCTTCTTCTATATAAATAACATGCATCTAATTTTCCCTGACACACATACAGGATATTCTTTAGAATTGGGTGCCCAAGGAAACCAGTTTGAACCAGTCATTTCTAAAGCTATGGCTAGTGCTACACATGAAAACTTCCAAGAGATAAGGAAAAGACATTAGTGCTCTTAGGTAAACCTGAAGAATGTTATAAAATAAGAAAATACTGATGTTAGATTGAGTTTACACCTGGATTTGAACTACATATCTAGACAAAACACTTCACTGATATTCTTAGTTGGGTTATGTATATTACCCTCTTCAATTTAGTTCAACAGTGTTCAAATCTTAAAGGCTGAGGTTTCATCCAGATACATACCGTCCTTTTGCATATGGAGGTGTGTCTTACCTACATATCCAGGAGTGCCACACGCTGTACTCATCACACTACCTGAACCCTCAATCTTTGACAGGCCAAAATCACTGATCATGATTTTGGAGTCTTCATCCATACTGTAGTACAGCAGGTTCTCTGGCTGTGTTAGAAAAAGAGACACAAATAGGCGATTTACCCTTTTGTGTGTGGAATATATATATATACATTTACTGTCACACTGGGTTAGGTGACCAAACATACAGAGATATTCTCTCTGTATTCATGTGCCAGCAGAGATATTTAATCACCCGTCACTGCACTGTTATAAGCAAACAAACTTTGCATAAAGACTGATGTAACTCACATAAACTGTAACCCCAGAAACCATGAAGGAAAGTAACTAGTCAGAAAATATGTCAACGTATGATAATAACTGACTCTGTAGCAAGAGTTTAGCCTGATCAACACTTTTTTTCTTTTAAACGAAATGAATGCTTTTATTCAGCAGAAATGCATTAAATTGATCAAAAGTGACAGTAAAGAGGTTTATAATGTTATGAAAGATTTCTATTTCAAATAAATGCTGTTCTTTTGAACTTTCTAATAATCAATAATTAAATAATAATAATAATAATAATAATACATATACATTTAGATATTTAGCAGACGCTTTTATCCAAAACAACTTACAAATGAGAATAATAATAATAATATGAAGCAGCACAACTGTTTTCAACATCAATAATAATAAGAAATTTTACATGAGCAACTAATCAGCATTTTACAATGATTTTCTGAAGGATCGTGTGGCACTGAAAACTGCTTTGCCATCTCAGGAATAAATTACATAAAAATAAAATGAAATAAAAAAAACTTCCTTTAAATTTCACAATATTACTTTTATTACCTTTTTACTGTATTTCAAATAAATGCAGCATTTACATATACACAAACATACATACATACATGTATATATGCAAAATATATTGTCATGCACGTTTTAATAAGGAGATTAATAAAATTAAAGTTTTTTAAAGAATGTTACAGTTTTACTTTATTTATTTAGTTTAGTGTTTGGGTAGTTCCTAGGTATATTAAGGAGTTCAAGTTGGTTATTTGATAGACAGCAAAATTCCCTAGATTTTGGTGGGGGGTCTTCAAACTCACATCTCCCATATGAGAAGTGGGGCTCAACATGCTTAAGTCAACCACTAGGTCACGGCACTGACCCAAATGATAATTCTTAACTCCTCACCTTGACTTTATTCTAAAGTTTAAAATGGGATTGGAGCCATTGATTGATCCATTTACCTAGAACTACTTTCCTGGTCTCTGGAGGCAAAGCCCCAACTATTAATTTCAAGAGCACTATCAAGGACTCCTGAATGAAATGAGTAAGCTCTATGGATGGGAAAAGAACAGATTTCTGACACTCTGTGGTTGAAAACAACTCCTTTAATCTGTTCTATCAGACCTGTTTTCCTCCAAACCAACTGCTGTCTCACCTTCAGGTCTCTGTGCACGATGCCCATGTCATGCAGGTACTTCACAGCATCCAGGATCTGCTGGATGAGCTTACTGGCATCTTTCTCCGTGTAAAATCCTTTTTCCACAATCCTGTCGAAGAGCTCACCACCGGACACTCTGCCAATGGAAAAAACAGAGAGACGCTTGCAAAGCTGTTTTAGGTTTCTGTGTCTTTCACACACACCAACGCACATGCTCACTCCCTTTCATTTTTTTTACTCCAGACAGACTGGCGCACAGCAGGTTCACAGCAGAACCACACGGCAATGCTGTACTTCATCACAACCACCAGAGGAAGCTGTGTTACTCATTTTATGTTGAAAGACTGGGTAGACGCTCTCTCTTTTACACATATCTCATTGTGGTTAAGTAAACTTCAAAGATGACTCATATAAATTCTGTAGCAGAAAGTTGATGTCATTCCTTAGAAGTGCTTACACTACCTTATCTATATTAACAGATTAATGTTTATTCTCATGCACTAACAAAAACATACCATGGTAATATCAAGGAGTTTGGACATGAAGCATAGTAAGGCTCTGACTATTATATATCAAAGAAGCAATACCATGAGACACCATCACTATAAAATGGTGCCACTACGGTAGTAGTGCCTTTTTGTAAGGGTGATCTGGGATGACTAACAAAAAAATGTGCTTTTCCACCACACTTAAAACACTCCAGGTTTTTCCTATATGAGTGAATTTCATGGAAATGTCAAAAAACGTCGAAGTCATATTCCACACTGAAAATAAAAATTAAAGAAAAAAAGGATTAAAAGTATACTTTTTTTTCATTTTTATTGTACCTGTTTTATATATTTTCTCTCTCAATTATAATTTCTGCAATGAAAAATAAAAACAATAAAGCATTCTCTATGTGGACAAATGATCTTAGATTATATTGATTTATTGTACTATAATAATGCAATTGATTGTTTTTTATTACAGTAATGAGAAATTGGGGAAATATGCTTAATTGTCAAAATAAATGTCACAAATGCAGTTAGTCTTATTGGTCCTGAAATACGGTTCATTTCATTAAGGCAGAATATAATTATTGGGGTGAAACATTATATCAGCATTTCTCTGTGAGATCAGCCCATTTGTTGGATGAACAAGACATGCTGTCCATTTCCTCCTAACTTCTCAACAGAAACAGTGCAGAGACAGTGAAACTTCATTCAGAAGTGCCTGTGTTTTGTCTCTTCGCATGTGTAGGATGAAGGGAACGCTGAGGGTGGGATTTCATAGTCTGTGGTATTTGAAGCATCAAGACTGTGGGTGCTAACACACACACACACACACACACACACACACACATGTACATGCATGCAGAGTTAATCTCTCACTGAGTTGAAAGCCCAGGCAAGCTTGGAGTCCTGCTGTCTGCATGCAGAGTTGCCATCACCCGGAAAATACGACAATGAACATCTCTCTCGCTTCCCTTTCTGTCATTCTGTCACTCTTGATCTCTCGGTTAACACAGCTGTTGTGGAAAACGAGCCTTTGCCGTGTTTCGTTCTCCATCGTTTGCCATCCGTGATATAATCCGTCTCTCTCCTCTATATACGCAACTAACTCTCTCTCTACTGACATTTTAGATGGTAGGTGTGAAGACGCAGGTGTGAGCATATTTTCCCAGTACTGTTCAGTGGGCTTATGCGCCTGTGTGTGTGTGTGTGTGGTTGTTTAGCCTTTTCCTTGATTTCTCAGTGGAAAAGACAATAGCGAGGCTCTCTGGCACATAAGTAATTAAAAGAGGTTGACACTATGAGGGGGCGAGAGAGAGCCGAGGGGGGTGACACACACAGTCATGCATTACCTGCTTCTCTGTAGCTCTATGGGGCCTGTTAGAAAGACACTTGATAGCTTCTATTATTGTGTTGTGTGTCTCCTGTGGGGATCGTCTGGTCTGAAGATGAAACGTGTCATTTTTTCAATGTTAAAACCTTTTTTTTTCTCCAGTTCAAAGCTTAACATGCAGGAGCAACTATAAGTAAATCAACTGTAGGAGGCATTTTCAAAATACTTCTCTCTTTGCTTGAGAATCCAGACCAGGGGTGCGTTTCCCAAAAGCATAGTTAGCAAACTATGATCTCAAGTTGTGTCATTATCAACATAGTTCAATGATTCAGCGTTTACCGAAACCATAGTTCCAACGAACATTCGCAAATTTGTGTGGATGGAACTACAGCTATATATCATTCAGTATGTATACACAAGTTTCATTTTGTATCTGTTAGTTTGTAAAGTGAATCAAAGCCTGGTTTTTGAAGAATGTGCATATGCGTAAATGTTGTAGAACCATATGACGTAAGAGGGAACCCGTGTTTGAATGAAGCATCTTAAAATACAGCAAAACAATGGAGAACAAAATAGCAAAGTCATCTTCAAATGCTATCAGCATTATTTATGGCAATAATCTGACATTTCCATCATGAAGCGATCAAGAAACAGAAGTTATTACTTCACCATTCTTTGAGCCAATATTCAAACAACAGAAGTGTGAAAGAAGTTACCATAGTTTCGGGAAACAGTCATGATTAACTAGCTTAATTTCGCCAACAATGCATCATACTAAAGTAGTTAAGCGGGTACATTACATTATTGTACGGGAAACACACCACAACTAATAGGTTTGGGGCAGGGCTATATGTTTATTCAACCAATGGTCGATTGGGGGACAGTTCAGCAAAAACTGTTTGAAAATCATTGTTTTTGCTATTTTGTTTAGTGATGGCTAGTGGCATTGAAATTACACACTTCACCTTTAAACAGTCTGTCATTCTTTAAACACGTGACCCATTTATGGACATGGTTATTTTGTGCTTTCTCTGTGTGGTCTATCAGTAGATCTCAAGTTCAGAGGAAATGGCAAGAATTTGCTCTGCTCTACACTTTTTGCTCTGCTACTTTGGCTCGCTCTTAACATGCTGCTTCGGAGATGACAACAATTTCAGAAACATGTTATAGCATTTAAAAATAATATCCAATAAGACTACAGTTAAATTTTTTTTTTTTAGTATGTTAGTAAACACATTAATGTAAGTTTACTTTGTTAAAACATGACAAATCCCACTATAGTGCTCCCTCTGGCTGAGAATTCAACATATTCTTGCACTGTGTTATGGATGAATTCTGAAATATTACAAAATACAATGAAAGCGTTTGCATTCATATACTTATGTAGAGAATGTTTTGGGTCTAAATGTCTATATTTATGTATGGTAGCAATAATATTAATTGTGATAATGCCTTTGCATTTTTATTTGTTGCATACAGATGCTTTAAAGTTGGCTTTTGGCCAACATTGAGATCTTTAGGGATTCATTTACCATAAAAGCAACACAACATCTGAACTTGGAGAGCCTTTAAGTCACGGAAATGAATGAGTTTGAGATAAGGAGCTAAAAACGGCAACCAGCACACGACAGCTGCATTAGATAATAGCTGAATTGTTTGCTGAATTCGGCTCACATACTCCATGTGAAAAGCATGAAAATATGGGGCGACGGCAAAGTTATAATTAATGATCAATCACTCACAGTTGCATGACAAGGTAGAGGTGTGATTTACTCTCATAGATGTCCTCCAGGGAAACTATGTTGGCATGTTTAATCCTAGGACAGAGAGAGAAAAAAATAACATGTCAACCCAGGAATAAGGCAAATATCTAGGCTTAGTACATCTTTATAAAATAGAAATAAACAATATGAAAGAGACAACATACTTCCAGAATGCAATGTAGCATGAGAGACAACAATGCAACAGTGTGCACTGAAAGTGAGGCACAACTGTTGTGCCTGTGATATCGTTCAACATAAGATAAGCTCAATCGACGGCATTTGTGGTATAATGTTAAATATCACAAAAAAAAATTTACTCATCCCTTGTTGCTGGGATTTATGGCATTTTGTTTTACGATGTCATGGCAAAAATGTTGTCAAATTTTGTATAACTTCACACAAAAAATGCTAGTTAAGCGACTAAAATCATTTTGACATGCATATGGTTACCTACTTGTTGCTACATGTTTGAAACAGCAAGTAGTTTTTGTGGGAAAACAACATTATCCCACAAGTACTGACACAACTGAGCATAAATTGTATTGAACCTGAAATATTAATTTAAGGCACAGAACTGATACACAGCATGCAAATTTGTTTGGGTGGAGACGAAAGTGTCATAGAGTGTTATAATTAGTGTTTGTGTTACTGCAGCTTCACAGCTCATATTAAAGGGGTCATATGATGTTGCTAAAAGAACATTAGTTTGTGTATTTGGTGTAATGAAATGTGTTTATGTGGTTTAAGGTTAAAAAAAACATTATTTTCCACATACTATACATTATTGTTTCTCCACTATGCCCTGCCTTTCTGAAACGCGTCGATTTTTACAAAGCTCATCAGTCTGAATAGCGAGGTGTGCTGTGATTGGCCAGTTATCCAGTGCATTGTGATTGGCCGAATACCTCAAGCATGTGACGGAAATGTTACGCCCCTTACCATACTGTGATGGCATGTCCCGGCCGGAGCGACGAGACAAAAATATTAAAACCCATTATAAACGAGGCATTTGTTGCATCCAGTGGGGACATAATTATGGATTATAATGACTTATACTGTCTTTTGACGTGTTGCATCGCGCCGCGTAAACATAAAACCATGTCTGCATTTGTGTTCGGACAAATGACAAACTACAAACGCTACTCTACACTGCTCAAAACTCACGTTTGAATCATCAGTGGCAAATCCTTTAAATGAAAACGTACTTACAGTCTGTGAGTCAGAACAGCCGGCATTGTAGTCTACTCTACCAGGATCAGGAAACAGTCCTCCATAAAATGCGCTGGACACATCTGAATGTTTGGGTTGTACTGTTCTGGAACAGTGTTGTAAATACAACTTAACCACTGATTTCTAGTCATGTCCTCTTTTGGAAGCCCAAACAAAGTAGTTTTGCTTTCACAACGAAACACAGCGTCACACACAGCGGCCTTGAGTGAGCGGAGGACGGGGGCTAGAGTGAGCAGAGGCCAGCTTGAGTGAGCGGCGGCGGGCGGGCGGGCTTGAGAACGGTGCGGCAGATGGATTTGACGAAGGAGCGTCCGGCAGGCTTGCGGCAACCACATGTGACGACCCCGGGCTGGATTCTGCTTCATCCACGGTGAAAATCACTCCGGTGATCCACAGCACGAAGTTGATGTATTTCCTCACCAACCAGCATGGATCAGCTCTAGGCATGACGAAG